GGATGCGGTGTATTTAAATATTTTTGAATGAGCGTTTGCGCTGTTCACTTTCACTTTTCATTACGCGATCACACGCACTCTGTGTAAAGGGAGCACATCTTACAAGATCAGATTTTTGTCAATGAGCTCAGGATCTGTTGAGCAGCAAATACTCCAGCATGGTCTTGTCAGTCATCTCTCCTTATTCTCGACCTGTGATCAGGCAAAGCTGACTCCTGTAGCTCTTGTTGGATGGAGGGTTGCCAAGTCCGCGTTTTTTCCACAGAATTGGGATACTTTTAAACTGTTGCCATGGGTTGATTTTCCCAAATGGGTTAAAGGTTTGAAATATTGCATAAATTACATTTGACTGAAATGCTCTTGTTTTCTTTTTATTTATTATAAAAACAAAACAAGCAAAAAAAAAAACTTGCTATGTATACTGTTAGGTGAAGCCCCGCCCCCTACTGTCCTCTTTTTGAAAAACTAGCTTAATAACAGTCCCGCGTTACAATCCATATAATTAAAAACAATAACTGAATTCAAACCTTGTCGTGGCGGTGTTCGGCTCCTGCTTCTACCCATGATCGTATCACTATAAAGTAGATGCTTTTCTTTTAAACAGCACGTTCACAAACTGCTAGTTAACTAGAAACTTCCAGCCTGAACATCTGCTGGTCGGGTCGCCATCAACAGTGCGCCATAAAAAGCAATCCGGAACAACAAAGGCATCAAGCGTTCCGCGACAAATGGTTCCTACCCTACCAAACATTACGTTCCGCCTACTTGCTGCATGTCAAAAAATAAAATCGTTATGAATAATTACAAATCAAATCAGTGTCCATTTAAATGTTTCTGAGATACTTTAACAGCAAATACTTGCTTGCAATAGAGTTGTACTCGAAGAAAGCAACGTTTCTCAAGTTAACATGGCTAAATCTGTAAAAAAAAATAAATAAATTATATTTTATTATCAGTCACAAGTATTGTTTTGAAATCCACACTAAAGACACAGACTACACCAGCTTTACATGGATGTGGTTTTTAATGAATGGTACATCCAATCCTAGCATTTTACATTCTAATATTGACATGGAATCAAGTTTATAAACCAGCAAATATACACACAACAGCATTTAAATAACCGTGAATGATCATAAAAATAATTCCAACTGCAAAGCACACATACATAAAAAAAGATAATAAATAATAACAATATAAGAAGAAAAACAAGTCGTGCATTTAAAGTTGGATTTTCTTTGCAGCATCAAGCCATGATCTTGCTTATTTTGGCCTGTTGATGTTTATTATTTGCAAGCCATCGCAATCATGATTTCCAGTGAATGGTACTTGTTCATTTAGTTCATCCCTGCTATTCACAACAATGTGAGATGGAGATGTTTATGGTAGTTAAAAAAATGCCACATGTAGTTCTATAAACATGATAATGAGCAACAATCAGAATCGATAGACATGAAGAATCAATGCTTAGTGCCACATTCTTTTTTCTACGCATGTACTCAGTGCAATTCATTTTAAAGCAAGGGAAGGGTCACATATTCAATGTGCATCAGTGAAGCATTGTGAAATTTGCATCGCATACACAACTCGTATGGCATGTAAAGGTCAGTAAATGGACACACAGTGAGTCTGACTGGATGTGGAGATGTGTTTGTGTGTGTGACGAACACTTGTCTGTAAGAGTTCAAGATTCTGCTTTCTCTTTTTGTTTCTTGCTTTTCTTTAGAAAACAGGGAGCTTTGAACTTCTTTTTTTTCTTGGATGGAGATTTGGAAGGTGAGCCCTCTGGGGTGTGGCCTGCGGGTTTGTTGGGCGGGGCAGTGGGTGGAGTCGGGGGCGGGGCCGAGGGCGTGGTTTCCGACGCATCAGTGGTGGATAGTGCCTTCATTTGTTTTTCTAGCTCCTCCTGCTGTTTCTTTTCATCACCTTTATCGTTCTGCACCGCTTCTGTATGTGAATCAATTTAAATGAAAACGGAAAAGAAATAGCACAGTGCAAATAATGACAGAAAAGAAAAGGAGAAGGCAGTTAAGCATTGGTCAGGATGCTCAGCAGCCGCTATGACATTTCAGTTTTGGCCAACATGCTCATTTAAGTTGTGCGCAATGTCTTAGTTTCTATATACTCACTAGTGAGACAAGATCTCAGTACCAAACGACTGTCCTACAAATTATAATACAGAGACAGACAGAGAAGCACAAAGGTGTGAAGACAGATGGAGGCCACAGTACAGAGCTGAAAATGTCACACATAAAAACAAAAACGTGAAAACTGAAATGAAAACACGCACACAGATTTGAATACAGACATCCCATGTTACTCAACATCATCCCCCAGTAAAGGAATAGTTCACCCCCCAAAAAAAGCTGTGAACTTGCTTACCCTCAGGCCATCAAAGATGCAAATCAATGTGTTTTTTCATCAGAACAGATTTGGAGAAATGTAGCATTGCATCAGTGTCTCAGCAAGTGAATGGGTGCCGTCAGAATGAGAGTCCAAACAGCTGATAAAAGCATCACAATAATCCAGAAGTAACCCACAGCACTCCAGTCCATCAGTTAACATCTGGAGAAGACAAAAGCTGAAACAAATCCAGCATTAAGACGTTTTTATCTAAAATACATAGAGTCCATAATCCATAATAACACTTCCTCCAGTGATATCTCCAAATCACAGAACAGTCACTTTTGGGTGAACTCTTCCTTTAATGCCGTTATATATATACTGATAGCAGATTATAAAACAAACCCCCAATCGCTGTTTTTTATGTTCCCTTTAGTAACAGGGGTTGTCAACCAGAAGTAGATGATGTGATGCACAGATCAGCATGTGGGAGCATAGCAGGTGTTTCTGCAGTGTTCATAGAGCCAAGGGTCTCACCTGACGGTGGGGTCTTTCTGGGGGAGGCCCCCGTGTCATTCACTACCTCCTCCACACCTTTTACACAAAAACATCAGGGTTGGGAAAAGAAGAAGAAGAAAGGAAACAGAAATAGAGGAAGATGAGGGAGTAGACCAGTGCTGGGGAGTAATGTATCAAAAATAGCGACGCTTCTAAATGAATTACAGCTTTTAGTGTGACAGTATTTATTTAACCAGGCAAGCTAATTAAGAACAAGTTCTTATTTTCAATAACAGCCTGGCAGGAGAATTAACATCTCCTGAGAAACATACAAACATATATTACAATACATAAAACATAAAAAAAGAATAAAATCTCAGTTAAAACATTTACTGTCATTTAATGTTTCCTTGTTGAATACAAGTCTTCATTACAACAAACAAACAAAAAATCTTACTGACCCCAAATATTTAAATATACAGTATGTTCTTTTTTTTGGCAGTATTTTTCTAGTACAAAAACAGTGATGTTTTCAAAGCTCAGCTGATTTCAAAACTATGCAGCTTTTCCAGTAACAAGTTCATTTGTCCATTTCAGTCATCACTTAGTGTTCACGAGAGTCCCTGCATGTCATTTAAAATCAACATTAATATAAACCTTTTTGTTGCACAGTTTTTATTCATTTTTTTATTCTATAAGTGTAAGCTTGTGTTTAATATGTAATTAGAAAAATACTGCCAGAAAAAAAAAACGTTCAAACGTTTGAGGTCAGTAAGATTTTTTGTTTGTTTGTTTTAAAGAAGACTTTTATTCAACAAGGAGACATTAATTGACAGTTCTACTGTTATTTATTTTTCTAATAAATGCTGTTCATTTGAACTTTTATGAACAATGAACCCTGATATTAAAATTGATCATGGTTTTAAACGCTGATAATAACCACAAATGTTTCTTGAGCAAGACTGGAGTAATGATGCTGAAAATTCAGCTTTGCGTCACAGGAATAAATTACATTTGAATATGTATTAAATTAGAAAAAAAATATTTTAAACTGGAATAATATTTCACAACATTGCTGATTTTTCTGTATTTTTCATTAAATGAATACACAAAGAGATTTCAAAAACATTTAAAAAGCCTACCGACCATAAACTTTTGAACAGTAGTGTAGCTTTTACTGCTTAACTATAGTTTGTATATGTGACCCTGGAGCACAAAATCAGCCATAAGGGTACATTTTTGGAAATTGAGATTTATACATTTTGTTAGGATAGGGCAATATTTGGCCGAGATACAACTATTTGAAAATCTGGAATCTGAGGGTGCAAAAAAATCTAAATATTGAGAAAATCATCTTTAAAGTTGTCCAAATGAAGTTCTTAGCAATGCATATTACTAATCAAACATTAAGTTTTGATATATTTACGGTAGGAAATGTACAAAATATCTTCATGGAACATGATCTTTACTTAATATCCTAATGATTTGTGGCATAAAAGAAAAATCTATAATTGTGACCCATACAATGTATTGTTGGCTATTGCTACAAATATACCCCAGCGACTTAACACTGCTTTTGTGCTCCAGGGTCACGTATAGTTCCCCAACAATGGCATTAACTGTAAAGGAGGTTTTGGATTTTAGTGTGTGTGGGAAGGTTGTCAGGCTCAGAAAGACAGGACACAGTGGAAAAAGATCAGTGCTGATCCGAGAAGAAATGATGTTGGGACACAAAGCCTCAAGTTTCTGGAAAGATACTGAAATTCAATTCAACTTTAATTCATTTATTTTCAAGGCACTCTTCAAAGTATTAAATTCATGCATTCTGTATTTCCACAATTAACATATATATTTTTCCAAATCCTTATTTTAAGGAAATAAAATAAAACGTAAATCTATGTGACATCCAATCAATATTTGTCTAAGGATATGTACTGTGTAAGACAGTGGGTGTTTATTGAATTCTCTTCTTTAATCCAGTGGGAGAATCAATAAAGCATCAATACTTAGGCCAGAAATCAGTGGCTTACAAAAAGAGAATGTGGGACTAAACTACTCTTGTTAAGAGTGCCATCTCGTACCGTCCTGCTTGCGCTGCACCTCCTTGCGGTACTCCTCCAGCTCCTGATCCGTCAGTTTGTTGAAGGGGTTCGGAGTCTCCGGCTCCGGAGCGGCTGGAGGCCCCACAGCCTCTGGAGTCTGGAAGCAGAGCAATCACGGTCACATAATGAAAGCATGCCCACATGCAAAAGTTTCTGATCAGGGAAGTGTGCTCATTACTACAGATATGCAGGGGTAGGGTATGATTAAAATATCTTATTTTATAAATCAGAACTGTATTAAACATGCTGTAATTTCTAAGTCCATATTACAAAAAAAAAATAAAAAAATTTATTAGTAAAAAAAAAAAAAAAAAAACCACTAAATTTGGAAAAAGTATTTACAATGGGATAAGAAAAACAAACCTAACCCATAGATATAATCTGATACTTTTTTTTTTTCAAAACAAGAGAACCTTGTAGATAAAAAGTGTACACATGAGTATATATGTGACCCTGGAGCACAAAACCAGTCATAAGGGTAATTTTTTGAAAATTGAGATTTATACATCATCTGAAAGCTGAATAAATAAGCTTTCCATTGATGTATGGTTTGTTAGGATCGGACAATATTTGAAAATCTGGAATCTGAGGGTGCAAAAAAAATAGCGACTTAACACTGCTTTTGTGCTCCAGGCTCACATATGAACTGAGGGACATGCTGTGATTTACCGGTGGACTGTTGTCTGTGATGACGCTAGCTAACACCTGAGACCGAGGTCCGGCTGTTTTCATGTCCTGACGATTCTGCTCCCGTATCTGAAATACAAACAGCATTTTCATCCTCTACATTGCTCTCAGAGAGGATTCTGTCTAATGTGATGCATGTGTGCTTTACTGTTCTCCCAAGCTTAAACATTCCCCTGGAAAAAACATCCAACTGCCAAAGACCTTTGTGCTTATGAAGACAACCGTTGCATTAGACAGAGCATAAACATATCTGACAAGTAATATTTCTAACTCTTTGCATGAACATTTATTGCTGTCATGCATGCTTTTATTTCAATCAGGAAGTTTGACAGCAAAATTGTTAACTTCTTACAACAATTAAAGAATTTGATCTTAATTCAGTTTTATCATTATGATTGCAATTAATTTATTACAGTCTAAAAAGTGGTTGATTATTTTTTAAAGTACTTGCTCTTTTGTGCAAAAGTAATTTATGCATATTTAAATATCATTTATGAAATTTGCATTTATTGTATGCAGCATGTTCTGCTTCCTCAGACTGAACAATCATCTATTCTTATTTACTGGTAAATAATCTTCTCTCTATTTCTCTCTCTCTGCATCCGCTGATCTTTGTTCCTGATGGTGCAACTGAAACTACATGTTACAACACTTCTGTCACTACAAACACTGTTAGTGAGACTGCAATTCTGTGCCGTAATACTTATATTATAATAATGATAGTAACTGATTATGATAAAAAATGTCTTGAAAAGTCTGGACAGTTGCATTGCTACCAAAAAAATCTATTTCAAATAAATGTTGTTCTTTTGAACTTTCTACCTATCAAAGAATCCTGAAAAAATGCATCATGGTTTCCACAAAAATATGAAACAGCACAACTGTTTTCAACAGTGATGATAATAAAAAAATGAGCAGCAAGTCAGCATATTAGAATTATTTCTGATGGTTCATGACACTAAAGACCGGAGTAATGACTGAATAATATAAAATAAATAAAAATATATTACAGGGGTCATATGATGCAATTTCAAGTTTTCCTTTCTCTTTGGAGTGTTACAAGCTCTTGGTGCATAAAGAAGATCTGTAAAGTTGCAAAGATGCATTATCACTGTGTCTGTCACGCGACTCTGTTGCCCTTTCGGGCTTGAACTGATGGTAAAACTAACCACATTATTAACTGTCTTGATATTAACTTTGAAAGCTGACACTCGCAATTATGGTAAGGGGCGTTACATTTCCGACGCATGCTTGTGGTGTTGGCCAATCACAATGCACTGGGTCAGCTGGCCAATCAGAGCAGACTGCGCTTGTCAAAGGAGGGGGCTTTGTTGAAAACGAAGCGTTTGAGAGAGGCGGGGCATAGAGGACCTACAATAATGTACCGTATTTGAAAAATAATGTGTTTTTTGAACATTAAAGCATGTCAACATATTCTGTTACACCAAATACACAAAATAATGATCTTTAAAAAAGCATCATATGACCCCTTTAAATTTTAAATTGCGATAATGTTTCGTGCTTCACTGTATGTTTAATCAGCATTGGTAGTGTATTTGCTCAAAATGCACGTTGTTCACAGTTCAAATGCCCTGATTTCAGTTTTTACATCAATAAAATCTGCAGATGTTAACACCCAAAAGCTACCTTATTTCTAGTCTCAAGCACCTCCTGTGGGTTGGTGAACAGAGGGACAAACTGGTTTGGATTCTCTATCTTAATGGCCCGTCCACTGCCCTGCATGATTTCCTCGGCCTTCTGCCACTAAAAGAGGAGAAATCAATATAGAAAGAGTTCAGCTGCTTAATTGACCAAATGCATGTCAAACATTCCCAGAAGACACCTGGAAGGCTGTTAAAAAGCAGACAATTTCTGAGAAACATGATAGGGACATTTGCAACAGATCTACAACCAGTAGAGGGCAGTGCAAGCACTGCAGTGAGTTTTATGACAATAAAATATCTCCCCTGCATTGCAGAGAAGGAGAAAGGGAGGTGGGTGGAAGATGGCAGAAGAGACAGAGAGAAACTGTAGTGCTCTCACAGTGATGTAACGAGTATGCTATTACTCTACCAATAATATCCTATGATTCACAGTAAGTCTATTTTCTGAACTGCAACACACTCACAGGCTAGTCATTCAAAAATACATGACTGAAATGAGACTGACATCTACTGTCTTACATTTTCTGAAGAAAATCTGACCGATGCTTTTGCAAAACTCACTACCACAAGGCCAGGTTGTTGTTGGGATCTGAGTTCACCCAAAAATGATCATTTGCTGAAAACTTACTCCCCCTCTGGTCATCCAAGATTAGGATGAGTTTGTTTCTTCATCAGCTTTGTAGAAATGTAGCATTGCATCACTTGCTCTGCAGTGAATGGGTGCCGTCAGAATGAGAGTCCAAACAGCTGATAAAAACATCACAATAATCCACAAGTAATCACAAGTCCATCCGTTAACATCTGGAGAAGACAAAAGCTGTGTGTTTGTAAGAAACAAAACATTCAGGCGTTTTAACTTTAAACCATTGCTTGCTTCCAAAATATGATTCCATAATCCATAATAGCGCTTCCTCCCATGAAAAAGTCCATCTCCTGCTGTCTCTCACATCAAAATCCAGCTACATATTTGTTTAGAGCTGTTTTGGACCTTTTTCTCTTGTAAGCGGTGCTTGATCTGTGAAGATGCATATTTTAGCTGGAAGCAATGGTTTAAAGTTAAAAATGTCTTAAAGGTGGATTTCTTTTATCACAAACGCAGCTTTTGTCTTCTCCAGATGTTAACTGATGGACTGGAGTGCTGTGGATTACTTGTGGATTATTGTGATGTTTTTATCAGCTGTTTGGACTCTCATTCTGACGGCACCCATTCACTGCAGAGCATCCATTGCTGAGACACTGATGCAATGCTACATTTCTACAAATCTGATGAAGAAACAAATTCATCTATATCTGGGATGACATTTTCAGAAAATTTTCATTTTGGGTGAATTACTCTTGCAATGCGCACACTATGTAGCAGTGTGTTTGAATCCCTAACCCTTAAAGGGGTCCTATTATGCTCTTTTACAAAGTCTTGATTTTGTTTTGGGAATGTACTAAAACAGGCTCTCATACTAGGTTGTTCGAAAAACATTATTTTTCTCATATTTTACATTATTACAACACCTCTCTCCCCAGTCTGGCATGAACGGCTCGAATAGTCCCTGTATCAAATGAAGGCCTGCCTTCTGAAATACGAAACGTGCTGTGATTGGTTAGCTGGGCCAGTGTGTGTTGTGATTGGTTAGCCGGGCCAGCGTGTGCTGTGATTGGTTAGCTGGGCCAGTGTGTGCTGTGATTGGTTAGCTGGGCCAGTGTGTGTTGT